CAGGGTCGACTCCCCATTTGGGAGTCCATTACATCTGATAGGTGGGTGTTATATATCATCTCATTCGGATATAGGATAGAATTCGATGTTATCCCTCCTTTGAGCCCGATTCGCTTCACACCTTCTTCATCGGTGCTACACGATGAAGTCTCACAGCTACTTCTCAAGGAATCAATTCGAAAATTGTCCTGCTCGGAAGGATTGCATGGATTCTATTCCAGATATTTTACGGTCCCGAAAAGGGACGGTGGTCTCTGTCCGATCCTGGACTTACAAACTCTTAACAAGTACATCAAACCAAGGAAGTTCCGGATGACCACTTTACAGAACATTCTTCCGTTATTGAAAAGAGAGGATTGGTTCGCCTCACTGGATTTGAAGGATGCTTATTTTCATATTTCCATACATCCTTCACACAGACGCTTTCTACGTTTTACTGTCAGATCCGACCTGTTCAAGTTTAACGTCCTACCCTTTGGCTTGGCCACAGCCTCTCGAGTCTTTACAAAGTGTATGGCACCGGTATGCGCACACTTGCGGACTTGCAGAGTACAGGTTTACCCATACTTAGACGACTGGCTGATCGTCTCGCAATTCGAACAAGCTCTCTTGTCTGATATACAAATGATCTGCGCTTTGCTCGATGCTCTCAGCCTTTGCATTAACCATGATAAATCGACCCTTATTCCCATGCAGGTCATCGATTTCATCGGAGCACGACTCGACTTGACACGGGAAAAAGCTTTCCTCCCACCGGAACGTCAGAATGCTTTATGCAGCCATATTCATTGGATTTGATTACACGGAACGGTTCCAGCCTTGTCTGTTCAGAGACTACTGGGGCATATGGCTGCTGCTATTGCCATTGTCCTGTATGCCAGGTTATGTATGCGACCCATTCAACTGTTCTTCAACGCTGTTTTTCAACCGCAACAAAATCCTGCCACCAAGCAGATTCGGATCCCGCATGCAGTCCTTCACACTTTAACGCGGTGGACCATCACAGACAACCTGTCGATCGGCACCCCGTTTTGACCACCTCGGCCAACGACAACTCTGTACACTGACGCATCCCTCCTTGGATGGGGTGCGGCATGTTCGGGACTTCGGGTCCAAGGTACTTGGAACCGACGAGAGGCGAGGAAGCACATCAACTTCCTGGAACTTTTGGCGATTTTCAACACCCTCAAGGCTTTCGAGACTGTGTTATGCTGTCAAATTGTCCAAATTGCATCAGACAATGTAGCGGCAGTTTTCTACATCAACAAGCAGGGGGCACAAAATCTCCAGCCTTAGCACGCCTATTGATGGACATTTGGGACTGGTGCATACCGAGGAACATCTCACTTATGGCGGTTCACCTGGCTGGAACTGACAACGTCGAAGCAGATACATTAAGCAGACAGATGTCGACAACCCACGAATGGGAGTTGGACAAACAACTTTGCGAGGGACTCTTCCGCCTGTGGGGTTATCCGGATGTGGACCTGTTCGCCACGTGACAGAACAGCCTGTGTGCCCTTTACTGTTCCAGAGCGGGCGTCAGGCCGGGATTGATGGGAGATGCTCTCATGGTCCCTTGGAGCAACATGACTTTTTATGCGTTTCCTCCAATCCCACTTCTGACGAGAGTGGTAACAAAAATAGCCCAGGACAGGGCCACGGGGATACTAGTGACTCCGTGGTGGCCGAGACAACTGTGGTTTACCACTTTCTTGCTGCTGTCCAGAAGAACGTTCCTTCATCTACCAACTCTCCCGCACTTGTTAACACAACAAGGAGGAGCGATCCGCCATCCGGATATATTCTCTCTGAAGCTGACGGTATGGCGAATCACCTGATTCACGTCACCAAGTCGGTACTGGGGACACCGCACGCTACGGGTGACCTCACTCAACACACGGTATATGCAGCCCCGACTTTGAATTCGACAGCAAATATTATGATACCGATGCCTACCGACAGAGAAATTGAGGTGATTATCGAATCTACATTAAGACCGTCCACTCGTTCCTGTACAGCTAAATGGAGAAGATTCTCCTCTTTTGCAGAGTGCCATTCGTTCTCCCCTGCAACGGCTTCAGTCACCAATATCTTACAATTTCTTTTACATTTGCATCATGAGGGACTTATACCGTCATCCATCAAAGTTTATGCAGCCGCTATATCCCATTATCGTGGCACTATACACGGGTTATCAGTCTTCTCACAACCGCTGGTTTGGCGCTTCATTAAGGGACTACAAAATTTACATCTGTCTATTCGCCTTGCCATGCCGACGTGGAGTCTTTCTGTAGTACTCCAAGTGCTTACCAAACCACCGTTCGAGCCTTTAGCAACTGCGGACTTACGCCTGGTGTCATGGAAAACTGCCTTTCTAGTAGCGGTTATATCAGCATGAAGAGCTAGCGAGCTTTGTGCGCTCCGCATAGACCCACCATTTCTGAACTTCCATAAGGAAAAAGTTGTCCTTCGGATGGATTTCTCCTTTTTACCCAAGGTGGCCACATCGTTCCACCTGAATCAGGATATCGTTCTACCAGCTTTCTTTCCGTCGCCGTCGACCCCGATAGAATGTGTTTTACACATGCTTGATGTTCGCCGCTGCTTGGCCTTTTACAGATCCCGCACTGGATCTTTTCGTACTACTAATAGACTTTTTGTTAAATACTCCGAGCAAAAAAATGGATCACCGATATCATCTCAGGGACTCTCTAATTGGATCACCTAGACTATCGAAAATAGACTTACCTGTCTCTCCAACTGGCCATTCTACACGAGCAGTAGCGACCTTGTCCGCTTTTGCCGCAGGGGTTCCGTTGCAAGACATCTGCAGAGCTGCGATCTGGGCTGGTCCATGTACTTTCGCCAAGCATTATCGGCTTGATGTACGTGCCAGATGGGATTGCTCTTTTGGTAGAGCTGTTCTCTCATCCGTTCTTCGATGATAACACCTCCCTCCGCCGAGTCTGGTAAGCTTGCGAATCACCCATATGTGTGATGCACAGGGGCCACGACGAAGAAAAGCAGGTTGCTTACCTGTAACTGATGTTCTTCGAGTGGCCATCTGTGCATTCACACAACCCACCTGCCGGCCCCACTCGGTGTCGGTGAGTGGATATCGTGTTTTTTCTCGGTACCATACTATAATTTGCATCGGTACCATTTGGATTATGTCACCATGGTTATTTTTTTTTCGGTACCGAAATATTAATGGCATCAGTACCGGGAGGTTATATCACTGACTAGAGATTGTTCTCGGTACCGTACTATAATTCACATTGGTACTGTGGGAATATAATGGTGTCTTATCATTACTTTATTTTTAACCTCTAGAGGGCGAACGTGCAGTCTTTAAGACTGAGCAAAATGGTGGACACTCCGCTCTATTTATACCACGAAGGGGGAGGGGAGCGGAGTTTTCCCGCCAAAAACCGTTAGCTTTCTAATCTTCCGGCCTAGGCACTGCGCAGGCACAGCAACCCCATATGTGTGAATGCACAGATGGCCACTCGAAGAACATCAGTTACAGGTAAGCAACCTGCTTTACTTTGGCCACCTAATGAGAAAGAAATACTCACTGGAGAAGCCCCTAATGCTGGGAACAATAGATGGCAAAAGAAGAAGGGGGCGGCAGAGATTGAGGTGGCTAGATGGAGTCACTGAAGCAGTCCATGTGAGCTTAGGTAGACTCCAGGGGAGGTTGGAGGACAGGAAAGCCTGGAGGAACGTTGTCTATGGGATCACGGTGGGTCAGACATGAGTTATTGACTAACATAACATAACAATTATTACTTCCAAATCACATAAGGTACCTGTTCACTCAGTACTAGTTAGACCTCAACTGGAGTACTACATCCAATTCTGCACAGTACAGTTTAAGAAAGATACAGGCAAACTAGAAAGGGTTCAGAGAAGGGCAACAAAGATGATCTGGTAACTGGAAATAAAGTTTGATGATAAAAGAATTGGGCGTGTTTGCCTTGAAAAAGAATTAGGAAATATAGGATAGCACTTGTTCAAGTAGCTGAAAGGTTGTCATTCAAGAGAGCAGGACACATGTTGCAAGCCAGATTTCTGTCTTCATTGGATGTACACAGGGCTGCTCGGCTCAGCTTAGCTCTTTATCAAATGCTGAAGGCTATTTGTATCTAAAACCCAAATCTATTTTTAATTAATATTAGAACAGGAGGTATGATTTAAATGAATGTATAACATTGCTATAGTAAATAGAATAATTTATAGGCTTCTTAGGTCATACATATATTGTAAATGTAAAATGTCCTTTATATAAAATACTTTGATACTGAAATTTTATTACTAATTGAAACAGTATATTCTGTAAAGCTTGAGAGAGTATATGTTAATGTAATATCTATATTTAATCTCAAATAGCTCTAGATAAAAATACATATGTACCAATGTAATGATTACTTCCATATAAGGTAATTTCTTAAGTAAATAACACGCATCTGTAAGGTTGCAATGACTGAATCATTGCCAGGTTCTAGAAAAACATAAGAAAATAAGAAGAGCTTTGCTTGATGAGACCAAGTGTCCTTCTAGTCCAGCATTCTGTTATCATGACCAGTGAGCTGTCCATTGGATACCACAAGCAATGCACAAGTGCAATAGCTCCCCTCTTGCACAAATTCCCCAGCAACTGGTATAGATAGGCATCTTCCCTCTGCTATTGGAGATAGCATATAGGCATTAGGACTAGTAGCCATTGATAGTCTTCTCCATGAATTTGTTTAGCCCCCTTCTAAGGCCATTCAGATTGGTGCCCATCACTACATCTTGTGAAAGTAAATTCCTCAGTTTAACTGTGCACTGCATGAAGAACAAAGCTATTTGTTTCTGGCATGGAAGCAGTTATTATTTTGGAATTTTTAATATGGATTAAAATGCAAATATTAAATTGTTGTTAAACTACTCTGACATAATGAATGCAGTGTTTATAAAGTGTTAATGCATGGGATCTGTATTTTCCAATACAGCAGACGGTGTTCCTAATGATAGCAGTGACAGTGAGATGGAAGACAGAACAACAGCTAACTTGGCTGCACTGAAACTGGATGATTGGCTCAATTTCAAACTGGATCCAGAGGTGGATACTTCAGTATTAAACATGTTTGCATATATATATAATGGTCTCAAGAATTACTTTAGTATTTTGAAATTTAAAAAGAAAAAAAATAGAATGCCAAACTAATGACATGTGAAGTAGGAATTCTCTGTTCCCTTAATCTTCCAGTATTATTGGTTGGAACTGCTCACCCTATTCTAAACAGGAATTTATGGTTTTGGTTGCATTTCATAAAGATAGATATGAGCTTATTTGGATTGTTTGTCAGGGAGCCAACTGTGAAACTGCTCTTGGGAGCATTTCTGATACATATCAAAAGTAGGTGTTTGTCAAAGGATATCCCCAAAAATCTGGCAGAGGGACCTTATTGCAAACCTCCAAAAATCTGATCAAACCCAAAACAAAACAAAAATTGTGCAACTTTGAACACCTATTTTTAATCTTTAAAAAGGGGTGGTGAACCAGTGGCTACTGCATCACTAATATCAGAGATTGCAAAAAGTGTTCTCAAAAAGCAGGGGGGAAACAGCAAGTGCAAAAGGGTCATTGGTTGCAGCAGAGAATGGACACAAGATGAGTAATACTGAGGGGAAAGGAGTGGGCAGCCCACTTGACTGTCAGGTGTACCATGGATTGTTCTATGAACAACCTACACTACCAGGCTTATTCACAGGGTGGCTTTTCATGCCATGTAAATGTAACAAGTGTTTCCAAGAGTCATGTCACTGTTCCTTATGCTATCCAGTTATAAAAAATAGAAACCTTAATTTATGCAATTACTTGTAGTTTTCCTTGGGGCCCCTAAAACAGCCCACAAAACAAAAGTGTGTTAGAATAAGAACTTCATTTATTATAGGCTGCTAGTCTCCTGCTGCAACTGAGACAGAAATGGCACAGTTTATTTTTACGACGCATGAGAGCCCCTTCAAAGCCCTGGTCTCAAGTTGATGAGGCAACTATACGAGCAATCATTGCAGTGTTGAGCACTGAAGAACAGTCTGCAGGTCTACAGCAGCCTTCAGGGATCGGACAGAGACCAAGACCCATGTCATCTGAAGAGCTTCCTTTAGCATCGTCATGGCGAACAAACACTAGCCGAAAAAGCTCAGCAGAAGCAGAATTTGTGGATGATGCTTTTAATGCTGACAGGTCAGTACCTTGAATTGTGATGACCAAACACATAACAGTATTTTGTGCTCAGAAGCTCTGCACATAAAGGAAGCACATTTTCTGTATGAAGCTTAACCCAGTGACCGTTTAAAGTAGCAAAGGGTTTATAGTAGCAAAAAGGGATGCAACTCACTTTCATTTTCACTAGAGACAGGAGAGGTAGAACAAGAGCAGTGGCCTGAATTCTCTTTACTGCCCCTTTTCCCTTTTTACATGGGTAATTTCAAATTAAGACACTTCTGTTTCTTATGTGCTGTTTCTGAGTGGTGTGCAGTCTGCATGCTGAAGGAAGAATAAAGGGACTCAGCTTGCCATGTAGTGGTGTAATATGTTGCTGTGCTTCTGGCATGCCCACAGCATGTGAATATGGAATGTTAGATTTTATCATGGCTTTTTTGCAACAGAAGCCTGATTTGCTACATAAATCTTTTAATTTTAGGTCTGAATTGTTGCTTTCTCTAACTAAAATACTGAAATTTTACTGAAGAGTGTTAGAAAAAATTGGGGATGGTTGGACCACATTGTGTTTGAGTTCCCTGCTTCTGAACTTCTCAAAAAGTACCTTATCTATACTAGAAAAGCAGTATTCCCTTCTTGCTCCCCACAGAGAGAGACAAAGAGCAACACACACAAACTCAAGCATGGACATGTACACAAGAGCCTTTTGGCGACTGGGTGGTATACAAATGAAATAAATAATGTGTATGTGCAAGAGTGTTTTACTCTATAATCCTATATTCTAGTCTTGCTAACAGTCAATTAAAAATCATAATAGGTAGTACACATATATTTTGCTGATGAGTTTACATAATCTCAATATAATTAAAAAGATATTCTGATATCGTAGGAAGACATTCCAGTCAAACATTTTAGATAATTTTGAATTTACTTCCCATCTAACAGTAGTAGAGTTGTATCGAATATTGTCATGTCACTTACCCAACTTACATTGCACTAACAGAAACCAAGTTCTGAACTATACAGAAGGGGCAAATCCAAAGTCTGTTTGCGCAAACAGCTTGCAAAAGCGGTCTGTTTGCACTTGCACAATGGGAAGGAAGCAAAGGTCTCCTAACACAACAATTTCTTCCTCTATTAGTATATCAAGTTTAGGTCACAATTCACCTGATATGCAAACAGTATAAATAGCATTTATAAAAAGAGGCTTTAATATTCAGATCTCTATCAGTTTCCCTGCACGGTTGCTAAAGAAACAAGCTTAGTTTTAACATAATTGTAAAACATCTTTCCAAACAACATGAAATTATTTAGCCATTTTTCTCTTTCAGAAATCCCCCCAAATCAACTTTAAGCTATGATATAAACAAAGAACAGAACAATACAATATTAAGGTAACGGTCCAGTTTTAAAGCTTTTTAAAAGCATTGTTTTCAAAAAATGCAACAAAAAGTAAATAGAATAGAGTTTAATTTTATTTTCTGAAATAAACTAAGTGAATTGCAGTACCAGTCATCACACTTACCACTTTTCCAGAGAGGTAGAATTTCTTCATCATAAGATCTATAGAGGAGGTATGATTGCAGCCTGCTTCAGAAGAGGCTTTGGGGCTATTGCTTGGGGGCTATTCTGATATAACCATTATACCAAGGCTAGGCAACTTGTAGCTCTCCAGATGTTTTGGCCTACAACTCCTATTATCACTAGCCAGCACAGCCAATGGTGAGAGAGGAGAACTGCAGGGCAAAACTTCTGGAGGACTACAACTTAACCTCCCCTGCTTTATACTAATTCTCCTTGTGCCCTTTTTCTGATAAATTCCAGCACTAACTTGCATACAGCTGCTGTGCGCTCTTTACTTCTGAACAAGTTGCTTGGCTCATTTGGTTTCTACACTGCATTTCAATGCGCACTTGAGTTGTTGTTTACATAAAATGTGCTTTAGAGTATAGACCTAAAGGACCAGATTTTGAACCCCATAATTGCCAGTACCTGACATTTTCTGAAATCCTTTTAGAATATGAAAACTTTCTGTTGCAATGGTTATTTGAACCTAACTGGGTAAATAGTGTGTTCTACTTTCTACTTAGAGTCTTAATGAAGTCTGCATCTCCAGCATTTCACCAACCACTGAAATACAAAGAAAGAAGTGTTTTGCATTCCAAACGAAGCACAGATGATAGGTCAGACCAGTCATCTGTTAAGTCTACAGACAGTAGTAGTTATCCTAGTCCCTGTGCCAGTCCTTCTCCTCCATCATCTGGGAAGGTACTTGTTCATCCTGTTAAAATTAAATGAAAACTAAAGAATGCTTGCTGTACCTTATAAAATATTTTATTGCTTCAGGCACAATCATACATAGCACTTGAAACTCAGAAACTGACATCATTTGTATTCATTTGTTTAGTCTGGTAGTTTCTTCTACATATTTTACGTTCGTTAAATATATATTGCCTTTTCCTTGTTGCCACCTCAAAACAGGGCCATACTCTCTTGCTTCGGTAGAACAGAAATGACAAATACTAGAAGATTACTGAAGAAAATAATTTGATTAGGAGATAGTCAGCTAAAGCAAGTGCTATGGAAATACTTACCTAAGAAGAGGTCTTGTAGGCTGTTACACCAAAGCTATTCCAATTTTGACTGACTACTGAGACTTCTACATTAAATATTTAAGAAGTCTTCTATTGTTTTTAGTTCATGAGAGTTCTGCGTGTGTGTTCTGGAGAATACATGAGGAAGGCATAGGATTGGCAAAAATGCGGCCTTTGCCAGTAAGAATTCTTTGGTTCACTAAAACCTCCTGCTCTCAAATCTACATGTATTTTTAGTGACATTGACAATTTTAGTGACTTATTGACAGATATAAGAAATAATAAGGTTACTTGGTTGGCCCTGCACTGTGGTTGTCTTGGTGAAGCTCCCATCAATTTATTTATTGTGAATAATTGATTGTAACATCTATTTATTTTCGTAACTTTTAACATAAAGTACTTAAAATAAAATTTGCTGTTGTACCAAAGGTGCTAGTTAATTGACCTGTTTTCTACAAAGAATGAAATACCCTTTTTTAAGGTTTTAATAGTAATAGATGGTTAATTGTAGAGCATCCATGTGTACAAACATGATCAAAGGAATTGCTTTTTGCAGGGTTCCAAGTCTCCTTCTCCAAGGCCAAACATGCCTGTTCGGTACTTTATTATGAAAAGCAGCAACCTGAGGAATCTTGAGATTTCGCAGCAAAAGGGAATTTGGTCTACAACCCCAAGTAATGAACGAAAATTGAATCGAGCCTTTTGGGAAAGCAGTGTTGTTTATTTGGTATTTTCTGTTCAAGGGTCAGGACATTTTCAGGTGAGCACTCCAGCAGAATATACACCAGTATATAACATCCAGCAAATCCACAATTGATGCCTTATTAGATTTGTTTCTTAGCTTTTTTAATGAGCTCAGACTTAGTTTTGAATGTAACCCCATTCTGTAGACTCATTTAAGTGGCATGGTAGCATGTCAGGAAGAAGGTTTTAGCCTAACCTGCATCTCATGTATGCTGCCCTTGTATGTGGGAGCTCTCATGATTTCCCCTACCTGCATTCTGAAGTAGTAGAGTCTTGAAAACTGAATATTGCAATTAACTATTGGATCAGAAGGATTTTTCATTATTAATATAACAAAAAGTTAGTTGAAGATCACTTTCAGTTTAAAATTGTGGTAGCTTTTACAATGGGGAAAAAAGAGGGCAAGAAGTTGAAGCAGAAGAAAGTTTAAGTTAGAATCTCTATTTATCATAATTTACTTGCATTTTCCAAGGATGGTCCTCTCTGTAAAATGGGTTGTAGTTTCAAATTATTGGATTATTGTGCCTGCAACAGGTATAAAGGATGGGGATCAACATAGGATCTGATCAAAACAGAACACAACTTTTGTTTTTAGTTGTCAGGAATTTGGCTTTCCTTTATTAGGTAGGGTCCAGTGTTGCCCATTTGCTGCCATTGTAACGGCTCACCCTTCATGCTGAGTCACATGAGAGGAGCATTTGTGGAATTCGATCAAGAATAGTGATGAAGTATTGAAATGTCTTGGAACTGATCATACATAAAACAAAACCTCAGCAGGACTATGAGGAAAGTAATTGTAATATAGCCACTTTAGTTAAAAGAACTTAAGGCTTGTTTTTCAAAGTCTTGATCACTATTTAGCCCTCCTCCCCAAACACACACACATGTACCCCTTTCATTTCCTCCTGAAAAACTGAGAAACCAGCAGTTTGATAAAAGATTAGAACCCATTTGAAACAAGCAACTTAAAAGTGATGAAATGTTTTAATAGAGTAAATTTTATTTGGATGTTCAATCTTACTAATGTCTGTCACAGGGTTTTGCTCGAATGTCTTCAGAGATAGGACGTGAGAAAAGCCAAGAGTGGGGTTCTACTGGTTTAGGAGGAGTGTTCAAAGTGGAGTGGATACGGAAGGAAAGTCTTCCCTTTCAATTTGCTCATCACCTGCTCAATCCATGGAATGATAATAAGAAAGTACAAATAAGCCGAGATGGCCAGGTATGCTGATTTTATAAACTGTATGATCATGGTAAGGTTTTTTGATTGCTTTAGTTTCCAATGTTAAGTATGTAATTAATTTTACAGCTAATATTAGATGATTTTATCCCAATACTAAAAGTAGTATCAAGAGGGAAAAATCTTTCTTTAAGAGTGAAGGAAGGCATGTCTCATGCCTTGTAATGGAAGAAATTTGAGGCTGATCGCATCAACTGTTAATGCCATTTTCATATAGTGGTCTATTTTTATTAGCTCTTCTATAACTTCAGCAGTGCCAGAAATATTTATTATTACTTAAAACTCTTTTCCCCCTCTGGTATAGGAACTGGAACCTCAGGTTGGTGAGCAATTGTTGCAGCTATGGGATCGTATTCCTTTAGGGGAGAGAAACACAGCTGATTGAAAATATAACAGCAAATTTTGAATGTATTAATTCCTGATGGTATGTAAATAAACTTATTTAAGTATTTCCTTCTGTATGAATCTTTCTATTCTTTTTCGTGCAATTCTTTTGGACAAACAGATACTTCTCGTGAAACATAGCAGCTGCCTCTAAATGGCAATGTAATGGTGGTTGGCTCCACACATGGCACTAACTTTAAGACAAAACAGAGGAGAGTTTCACATGCAACATAACTGGGTAATGCTACCCAGAATAGGAAGTGGAGTACAATGGTGGGAATTGTAGTCCCAAGCATTTGGAAGACCACATGTTGCCCACTTGTAATATGCAACAACTTCTGTATAGCCTGAAGTTGCCTGATCCTGATTAATCTTGGAAGCTATCAGGGTTGGGCCTGGTTGAAATCTGAATAGGTGACTTAAATGATGTGAACTGCTCAGAGAGCTTCATCTGTGATCAGTTTAGAAATGTAATTTAATAATAAATCATGGCAACAGCTGTAGATTGAGGATTAGGGAACTGAAATAGGAAGTAATCAGACATTTTGTTAGGAAAAGCTGCATTGGCCAGTGTCTCGACATTCTCTTCCAGAACAAGCTTAATTCATATAGAAGGCTTGCAAAAATTAAACTGTCACTTAGCAAAGTAAAGGCAAATGCCTTTGTATGCATAAAGACATATGTTTTAACCCCGCCATTCTCTTCCACAGATGCAGCTCAAGTGGAATTAATAAATCTGCTAAAATGATTGATGCATCTATGATGAAGTAATATTGTTTTGAAACAGTCTGATGGAATTCAGTGGTATTTCTCCAGTACCAAATGGATTTGATGTTGTGTTCCATATTGAAGGAAATAGCAGAACCTGCTCTTATTTTGACTGAAAAGTTTGTTTTGAGTGATTCACTTTGAAGTTGCAGATGTTAGGACACCAAAGCAGACTAAAACCTCTAGTGAACTTAGAGTAGTGCTGTATTTCATCTTTTTTTTCCTAAAGAAACAGGTCTGGTAACAGTGGATCCTGTTTGGTGCTCAAGGGCAAATAAGTGCATATTCAGCTTAGAAGTTGACTGTGAACAGCAACTGCTACTGAAGTAAACACTAAGTAGATGTACTGCTGAAGAGAGTTTCCTCTCCTCAGATGAAATCCAGTTAAACTGCAATGTGAGGAATACTTTTTGTTAATAAGCTGTCTTTCAGGTCCTTAAGTTTTGCCAATGTTCTATATTTTAATATGTGGTCACAGAAAGGGGCACACAATTTTACATTCTTTTCTAGGAGCTGGTGGGCCAGTCTTCTCAGTGTGGAAGAAAAGGACACTTTAAGGAACAATTTGGCATTGGCCAGTCCTCAAAACTATCACCAGAAACTTTTATTTCCTTCTGATATTACCTGTAAAACTTACCTTTTTTATTTTTTTTTATTTTCCCAACATATACAATTACATGGAAAAAATACAGAACAAAAGAAAAAACTGTCATAAAGAGTGAACAAAATAAATGAAATTGACATCCTGGAAAACTTGTCTTGTGTGCGCCTTGTCCTCTTTCATTCCCCACTTTTTTTTACAACTTGATTTTTCTAAATAGGCCCCTCCCGCTATATGTATACATATGATCTGTGTGTACTTTATATGGTACCAGTGTGTGTGTTATCTGTAGTTTTTAGAGAAATATGGGTCAAATCAGAAATTCACTGAAAGGAACGGAGAAATACCAGATTTAATAGGAAGGAGAGTGGGCACTGTTTTTTTACAGATCATTGAATAGGGTAGTTTAAGAGGCAAGAAGTTAATTAGTGAGCAGTGTTTTAAGTTACTGTAAAAAGAATGCTCATGTTTTTCCTCCGCCTAAGTGAAAGTAGAAATGAGAAAAAGTGAAAACTTTCAATCTCAATGAAACACTATTAATAAAGATGTTGAATTGAAGTTTGTTAATGTTTGCACTTAAATGTTTTTTGGAGATAGGGTTTATTTGTAGTTTCTGACTACATGTAATCGAGCTCTTCTGTACATCCATGAATCATTCTGTTATTAAATATTACTAATTGTGAACTAAGTGACTTATCTGTTTAAGGTTAGAAGTAAGGTGTGTTTAGAATAAAGATATTTTCTTTTAGCTGTATGGTGTGTGAGAGCTATTTGTAATTCTAGATCAGAGAATACCTGAAATCAAGAGTGCTGTACTGACTTGGGACTTAATATTGATCCTTTGATAAATTGCATTCATTGCCAATAGTTTGTATATAGAAACATTCTGTTCTAGTTGTTCTGCAGACAGGGATAAAAAACAGTGCACTGAACTGCATTGCAATTTGATATGGATAGAAATCAGCTGTTTACATTTCCACTAAATATCTTCAGGATCAGGATTCAGAATTCTGGGCAATGAAGGAATGTAGCTGATGCCTTGTCATTTGCTATTAGTATTTTTCTGATACATAAAGCAATAGAAGATTGTCTGAAAGTGCATTGTCAACATGATTGGTCTTTTCCCCCACCCTCAAATAAAGCTACAGATTCAAACACTTATTAATTTTGTTCAATGAACCTTATATATGAAATCAGATAGCTTTTCCAGTGTGACATAGTTTGGCTAAACAAAAATAGGATTCAGCTGATTCACACAGTTAAATTAAGGGATTCACTTTCAGAAAATGTCATGATGTCTATAATTTTGATACCTTTAAAAGGAGATTGACTTGTCCTTCGTGTATTTGTTCAGTCAATAGCTACTGTAAGGTCTAGGGTGTGAGCAGCAGGCCATTGTGGTTGGAATGCTGGGATCTAGGCACAAGTGCAAGGTAGAATCCTACAGCAGGTTCAGAGGACCAGAAGCAAGAGCCACATAAGTGTAACAGTCCAGAGTCAAAGCCTGGAAGAAAATAGATCTAAGCAAACACAGTCCAAGATATCCCAAATCCAAGATCAAGTTCACTTTTAAGTGATGTCAGGGGGGATGGGTACCGGTACCTAGGAATCGGGGTCAGACTGGAGACGAGGATGGAAGCAAGAACAGGGAGCTAGGCAGGAACCAAGATTAAGGCAAGGCAGCGCAGGAAGCCAGAGCTTGAGTGAGACACTGGAACAAATACTGCTGTGACAAAGAGCAGCAGTACAGCCTTTTATGCTCCTCTCCAGGTGTCCAGCTGCACTGCACAATTGCTCCTCAGCTGTCCCCTGCAAGTGCTTGCAAAGGTGTTCCTGGTTCTGTTGGTACTTGCAGGATTACCCAAGGCTCCGATTCTGGCAGCTACTAGTCCTGATGAATCTAAGCTACCTCCAATGTCAGAGATGGTGTGTTAATGTACACTGATTGCTGGGGAATATGGCTGGGAAGGTGATTTTGCAGTCATACCCTGTTTGTGGCTTTCCTGTGCACATTTGATTGGACACTGTGGAAGCAAAACCCAACTAGATGGACCCTTGCTGTGATCCAGTAAGGCTTAGGTACTTTTTATACTGGAAATGAAGTAGGCGCTATGAAGCACTACGTAAGGAAAGACTGCAAAAAGATCAAGACCAGAAAAAATGCTTCGAATTGGATGGGCATTTTATATAGAAATAAATACGTTGGGAGAGAAATGGAAGTCCAGGTACTCTTGGCTGAGTTGTTGGAAGCAAACCACTACCATGCCTTGGATGATGATGACCCAACACTTCTATTGAGAAAATGTATTGATAGGAGATTACAATTAATTTATATCTAATTCATTCTTTTCACATTAAAAGGAAGTAACTTCATTTTATCAAATTGTGAACATAACACATAGAGAATGGGTGGGCAACCTGGGCCCCTCCAGATCCTTTGGACCACAATGCCTCTTGTCCCTCAACGTCTTTTATGCTAGCATGGACGGATGGGAATATTATGCCAAAATTTCTTGAGGTCTGTGACTGTTAAATAATTGTAGCTATTGCATTCATTGATGATAGAGTAAGTGGTCCCTTTCTGGGTGTACACTAGATATTCCTGCAAAGTATATAAATACATACTAGAGCTGTTTTATTAATGCAAAAAGAATTATGAAAAAATCCACTGAAAAAGAAAAAAAGCGATATAAGATATATCCAGTACATAAAAGATCCTGGACTACTTTGGCCATTACTAGTAACAGTTTGTGTGCACTCTTTGGAGGAGAGCTAAAAGTGAAAGAGAATATAATAAATTCTTATATTCCTGAAATTCTAGGAGTATGCAGACAGCCATTGCAATAAGTTACAGTTTTGCATTTGATTAGACATTGTATTCTGGGGTTTATAACAACTTTGAAACCCTTAATGTAGGGGTGATAAACTCAGGGCACTTCGTAAGTTTTGTATACCAAAATGTTTTGGCCTTTGAAATGTGTCATCAGTCTTTGGCTATGCTGACTAGGACTGATGCTGGTTGTACACCAAAACTTCTGGGACGTCATGAGTTGCCTACCAGAAAAAAAAACAGGGGGGGGGGGGGGGGGGGGGGGGTAAAAAATTTAAAACCCCTTTTAAATAATGTTCACATCTGTCAAACTTCTCTGCTGCAATAAAAAGGGGTGGGACACATTTTTCTTCTCAAGCTCTAGAATTTTGGAAAAGGATAGATAAGTTGGGGACATTGGGCTTTATTAGGGGAACACAAAAAACCCTGAGGATCCCAGTGCTGGGGGGTGGGGGGGGGTGGAATATATCCCTTTTTGTGAGCAAAGTTCACAACAACTCACTCTTGGCAGCTGTCAAAGCCAAGCAAAGTGCAAAAATTCCCTTTGGGGAATCTCTTTGAGTCAATATCCATGGCTGGCACCTGCTGCAATTTGTCAGTAGGCACTTCTGAGGTCATAACAGCCATGCTTGATCAGACCAATGGTCCATGCAGTCCAGCATTCCAGCAGTGGAAAACCAACTGCCCACAAGAACTATCAAGCAGGATGGATACAAGAGTTCCACCTGCCCAACCTTAGCACCTGTTTTACACAGGTATACTGCCTCTGATAATGGAGGCAGCAATAGCCAACAAGACATGGGTAGTCTTCTCCTCATGAATTTCTCCATCCCCTTTCAAAGCCATCCCAGTTGGTCGGCATCACTACTTTCCATGGCTGTGTGTTCCATAGCTTATGCATTAAGTGCAGAAGTACTTTGCTTTTATGCAGGTGAGGCTTCCTATTTTTGCACCCATGGACATGTGCACAACTGCACCTCTGGAATTGCACAACTCCCTCTGTATTTTAAGAAACCCATTAACAAAACCATTTCCATATATATGGGATGTTCCCTGCCCCCAGGAAAACAGGGCAAAGCAGTGCCAATCCCACTAGAAAGTGGTGGCAAACTATCCTCAGCCCCCTGAGCACTTTGGACGGGCTTTCCAAAGTGAGATCACAAAAGGCAATCTCCGGGTGGGGAGCGGAGAAGCTGCAGTGAGCCAAAATGCTTCCAATCAGTTGTCCCAGCCAGGCACCTGGAGACTGGTGAGGCAAACAGCATTGGCTGTGGCTTGGGGCAGCTCAGAAAGAGCAGCAAGGTTTTATTTGCTGCTCTTGCCACTTGGCTTGCTTGACTGCTACCAGCAACTCATGGTGGGAACGGTCACTGAGGTTCATGGGTGAAACAAACCCCACTACTGACCCTGGGTTTTTAGGTAGCTTGATGTGGGGGAAAGCCACCCTGAGGAAAAGGATCTGAATTTCAACAGTATAACAGCACTCATGTTGTGTAACATGAACCAGGTCCACCTGTCTGATTTTTGAAGTTGGTCAGAGAGGAGTCTGACTTCAACAAATCCCCTAGTTAGCTTCCTTCCTGTGAATGGAACACTTTCATGCATCAGTTTTTGTTCTTTCTAATCTGAAAATCCTATTCAAAAGTTGTGTCAAGATATTGCATTTTCATGCCCAAACTGCTGCAAGCAAAGTCCCCAGTGCACCTAATGTTAATACCAAGTGGCAACTTCACAACTTTTTTGTTGATATAGGAAAAGAACTTTAAGAAAAGTTCTTTATGTCTGCAATATGGAATACAAATGTTCCTTATTTTAGCACTAATTCAGAGAAACATACTTGTCTTCAGAACAGAATGTATTAACTGCATTTTAGCTCCAAAATAGCATCTTCTACCATTTTTGGAAATCATTTGATTTGGGGTGATTCTGCTGACACTTTCTTGTCCTTCCCTAACTTTGGTATTAAAAAAAATACTTAAAGTTTCTCCAATGTGATAAGTTCCTTGACCAGAAACAAGGATAGGATATTATCCCAGTCTTCTGATGCCATAAAAGGTAAAGGTAAAGGTTTCCCTTTGACATTAAGTCCTGTCATGCCTGACTCTAGGGGGCAGTGCTCATCTCCGTTTCCCAGCCAAGGGAGCCAGCGTTTGTCCACAGACAGTCTCCATGGTCATGTGGCCGGCATGACTAAACACCGAGGTGCACAGAACGCTGTTACCTGCCCACCAAAGTGGTACCTTTTTATCTACTTGCATTTGCATGCTTTCGAACTGCAAGGTTAGCAGGAGCTGGGACGGAGCAACGGGCACTCACCCCATTGTGCAAATTCGAACCAGCGACCTTTCAATCAACCAGCCCAGCAGCACAGTGGTTTAAACCACTGCGCCACCTGCAGCCCCTATTCTGATGCCATAAGTAGGAACATACTTACAATTGTTCTGCCTCAGAGTGAGAGGATGATACCAGTTTCAGCCATGTACTTTACCCCGTTTTTGTCAGAAAGGGAGTGTACCCAAAGAATCTCAGACTTGATAGCCTGGAATTATATACAATGTTTCCTAGCAAATGCTGCTTTTTCTATCAATTTTTATTTTCCCAGAAAAGGAGTTTCACTGCAAAGCACACCCTGAACACTCCAGCAGTTGTAAGTAAGACTGTCCAGGCAGGCAAAGCTTTTATATCTTGTTCTTTGAATATGCTAGTATTTGTAGCTTAGGTCTAAACTTCCAGGAGGATCTGCCATCCCCACATGCTTGGTAATGCTATAAAGGATTTAAAATATGTATGAGTGTTCATTTTACAAAAACAGCACAATTATATTCTTGATATTTTGCAGAAGAATTGTGCTAGGTGGTGCTATTGTATAAATTTTTAAAAAAAAGATTATCCATTTGAAATAAAGAAGGAGCTCCATGGTTATTTGGCATATTCCCAAGCACAAGTGATCCTTATGTATAACTAGCAATAACAAAGCACTGCCCTTCACTTCAGTTAAGTGCAAGATAGGATGGCATCTCTCAGTCCCAACAGTAAGTTTCTCAGATGTTTCTACAGCATGCAACAAGGGGAACAATATCCAGCCTTCTCACTGCAGCCACATAGAGCGCAGGAAGTCTCACTTGGTGTGTCTTTGCTCAGCTATGATGGTACTGTGAAAAATCATTGCTAAGCAGTGGATGTTATATCCGTGGGAGAATCAGGATGAATGGCAATTCCTCCATGTGGCTGCATCCAAAGAGGTCCTCATGTAATAGAACAACATACTAATGTCTGGAAAAGCATCACAAAGTAAAACTTAAGGCAGTGGCACAATTTCAGCACATTGAGC